TGCATATTCAATTTTCAAACACAAAAACTATTCATATCCTCATTTATGTTGATACGTGCATCTCATAAAATTATGCATCACTTCAAATTTTTTACACGAGTTAAATTTTGTAAACATAGGATGTATTTGAGTTACATTATTTTGGAAGAATGTATTTTGAAATAGTAGATTGATGGAGAATGTGTGGTTCAAAAAAAAAAAAATTATTGATGTGATAGAAAATATTATTTTATTAAAAAATGTATTGTTGAAAATGAATAGAAAAATAAAAATGAAAATTTTAATGTAGCTCAGAGGCATAATCAAATTTCGTAAAAGTTACATGAAAGTAAGCGCGTGAACATTTATTAGAAATTTATATACTTTCCATCAATAAAGACCGATTGTGCAATCATTGGAAAGTTGAAGGTCAAATTACTACTCAATTAATAGATTAAGATTGAATGGTGAGATTTTTCCTGCCCATTTTTTTTCAATTAAGTTACGTCATTCTGTGTTTTTCTTTTTGTATTTCTTATAGTTTATAACGCGGTTATACTAATGTGTTGAGACCTGTTTTACATGTTGCATAAATAAATATATAAAACTTTTCTATTAATTAATATTTTTTTTTCACCGAATTAATAAAGCCAGGTCAATCGGCGATATGCCAAGTAACCTATAAATTGCCCTACCGGCAAAATTTCTTGACCTATTATGTACTAACATTTCACACAAGTAAAAGTCCAAATTGCCCTCTCCAACATAAATATTAAGTGGAGCCTCTGTTTCTATATAGAGTCCGTCTGAAACTCATTAAAAGGTTAAAAATACATTTTAAAATAATAAATTGATGAGAATGTGTGACTAAAAAATTGGATTTTTTTTTTTTGAATTTGTGTGTAGTATTATTTTATTGAAGAATGTGTAGTTAAAAAAAAAAACATATTTTAAAAAAATAGGAATCAAACAAGGTTATAGTTTATAAATTGATTTATTAATTCAACCAAATTTAAATATTAATTTAGGCCTCGTTTGATGGCCATTATTTAGTAAAAATAAAGTTTTAAATAGTAAATTTTTGTAGAATGTACAGTAAAAAAGTAAAAAAAAAAAATTTGGATTTACGTGTAACATATTTTACTGTGTGAAACCGTTGTAGAAAATGAGTATATAGAAAAAAGAATTTTTTGTAATGATTATCAAACATGGGTTTAATCATATATTCAATAACATTACTCACTATGTCGTTGTTCGATGGAGATTAAAATCAAATTTTTAGTAAATTTTGATAAAGTTTAATGAAATGTGTAGTTTAAAAATTGTGGGTCCTATAAAATATGTAGTTAATTTAAATATTAGCTTTAATTTCAAAAATTCATTCTATTTTTGTTAATAAATTAACCTATTAATTGGGTCTGCCTAATAATTGTTGCAGAATAAACACGCTATGGATCTGTCGGCCCCAACAATGAGACAATTGTTTCCTATTTTCACGTGGTTTGAGATGAAACGTCATCGTTATGCCACGTCATCTGTCTTAGTTGTATCCAGACATAAACAACGTCAACTCGGGCAAGTCACCCACATATTGCACGCCACAATCTCCTTCACTTGGTGCCAAATTTATTTATTTTTTATTAAAAATAATAAAAGTAACTGTTTTACAAAAAGATTTTCCCATCAACATAATATTACTGAAAATATTATGAATTAATGAAAATATTTTTAAAAATGTATTCTTCATTTGAATTTTACATAAGGATTTCTCTTCTTTACAAGGCATGGAAAAAGCCTGGTAAAACATCCCCCTCACAATGAGGTGGGTCCGACCTAGGATTTCTCTTCTTTACCAGGCCTGGAAAAAGCCTGGTAAAACCTCCCCCTCACAATGAGGTGGGTCCGACCTCAATAAAAAAATCCCCCAAAAATGTAACCCCAATGTGAGAGAGCCGGGTACCGGCCTGTGAACCAAAGCCTAGTACCCCAACTTGGCTCTTCACATAAATGAGTTGACATTTGCATAAAAAATACACCAAAGAAGATGCATTTCCATTTTTATTTTCGTGTTCATTTGAAAGTAAATTTATTAGGTTTTTCCAAACACGAGAGATGCCGAAACAGTCTCTCGATTTTGCGACGACATGGCGTGAAATGAGTTTCGTCTTGTAGTGCTAGGTACTAATAGTTAATATTTGGTGGATGAAATGATTGGCCACCTTCGCCTATTAATGCTGAGTTGGTATATAAATTATTGTCGTCTTCTCACTAAGCTACACAGCATGCCGCAAAATTTACGCTTTTCTTTCACCAAATATCATAATTTGAAAATAAACGATTTTATTTATAAATTAATATTACTTGCGGATTCATTAAAATGGTGTAATTGAACATTGATGTAGACGTGTTTTGAGCAAAATTTGTAAATGTGAAGTTATAGAGTTTTAGGATGGTCACCGATTATCCATCTTTCTAAGGTTACTTTATGTATATCACTTCATTTATTGAATTAATCTATTTTACCAGATATTTTTAACATTTTAGATGACAGAATAAGGTGTGACACAAGTGATTGGGTGACGGCGTTGACGCATGACATTCTGTCAAGGAAGGATACAAAATTATATAATAGTGTAACAAGATTGTTATTTATTTGAGAACTCTTTTGATTACTCGTATGAAGACTGATTTATGCATACATCCAACTAGGGTTCTCTTTGGTTATCTAGTTGATGTGTCTTTGATGTACATATTTTTGACAATTTTATTATCCACGAAATCGATGTTGCTTTCTTTGTTTAGAAAATGCAGAAAGACAAGTCATTCTCAAGCTGAACTAATTGGTCGGATTTTGAATGATATTTGTAACAATTTTATAGAAGTATCTTTCTACCATTTATGTAGATGATGATATTTGTCTTGATTTGATTAAATTTATTTGAGAGTTATCTTTGAATAAGCAAGCTCTTCGATCAATTGTGATATACGACTTGATGAATGGTGTTATCTAGAAGTTTGACTATTAAAAATAAGCCACCTTGCATTCGTTTGAATTTTATACTTAGAAGTGTGCTCAATTTTTATTAGTGGGTGACGACGAGTACTTTGTGTGCCTAGTTGTCATATTTGATAAGATTTTATATATTCATACTGAAAAAAGTTACAACAAAGGAGCATTTCTTAAAATAATTTATTCTATTAAGCAGTCTATAATCATTTTAATCTTCATGCGAGAAGATTTCTTTTTCTATTTGAGAAAATTTGAGAATCTCTCCCAACCTCTCTTTTTCTATTTTTCGAAATCCTTCTTTAAAACCTAAGCTGAAGATTTAAAATTTGAATAATGCAATTTATGAATAGTCGTGTTGAGTTGTTGATGATCACCATTCAACATGACGGTAGGGTCGCACTCACGTTGTTTAATGAAATAACGGGTCGTGATCAGTGTGACCCACTCGTTCACATTGTCAACGTGACACTGATCACATATTCATCTATTAAATTAACAAATTCTTTTATACATGTATTTTAGGATATGCTATTATATCAAACTCTGCAAATACGCTCTAAATATATTTTGTGCTCCATACCTATTATTTAATTAACAAAATTATCTTTCTCGTTTCTTCTCAAAGCGTGATCGATCGTGCTTAGAAGTCTAACTCGGTTAATAAAAATTTCAAAATCCAAGCTCTATATTGTATAACAACACGAAGGATAGTTCTGCAAATTTTGGGCATAAGGGCATGGTCGGTCCTTTCTATTCTCATTCCTGAAATATCAAACGTGAGGTGTTTTCAAATATTTTAAATCCACCGTCCAACTTTACTCTGTTAAAATCTACGACTATTCATAAATACCAAACAACCCCCAAGACTTTAATCAATTTGCAATAAAGCATATACTGTAACCAGCTGGCATATTCTTGGTGGCTGGTGGGATGAGCAGGTCAGCATTATTTTCACTACGTGGGTGACGGGACCCAAATTTTCTCTTTCTCTCTATTATTAAATTATTATAGAATTACTCTGAATTATAATCAATTCATTTTATTATCAAACTCAATTGCTTGACATTAATTACTCATCTAACGTGTCACAGCATGTAAATAAAAATTGGAATAAGTTTATGTGTTCAATCATTAACAACTAGCAATTTGTTTATTAATTTCATCGTAGTAATGAGCAAGTTATTGAATTTTTAGCCCTTATCTAACTATTTTTCAATAATTCAAAAGCCTTAACGCGTAAATACGAACTCAAAACAAGTAATGTTGAAGTGAATATTTGTTCACGGTCAAAAACAATTTTAGAATTGACTCAATGGAGTTGAGATAACTACGATAATGAAATCAAAATAATTTTCGATGAAATATTTATGTCGGTGAATCACCGTAACTATAATAACTATTCTCTTCCTCATGATACGTTTTCAGCTTGCGATGACAAGTATATGTAACTCTCTCTGTTTTCAGCTTGCGATGACAAGTTATAACAATTCAAATAATTTTTCACACTTGTAGAAAAAAAAGAAACAGAAGACACCACAGCAATTTCAAATATATAGTACTGGTAAAACTTGTAAATAATAAATTTGAATTGCCATATTCCGTGTTGTATGTAATTAGACCAATAATCTTTAAAACCCTTAAATACATAAAATTCTCCTATTTTTTGTGGACGCAGTCGCCGGAGCTTTGTTTCTTTCCTTTTTCGCTCTCCTGATGCCATAAACTCTCGCATTCTCCGCCTCTTCTCCTTCGACGCTTGATTTAATTCCTTTCTTTTTTATTTACACGTAACAATCTTTCTCACATTTTTTACATCTAGATGCACTTTTTTTTTTTTGAAGTAGAAGTTGTTTTTTTGATTCGATTACGATTAATTTGAATTTTCAAGTATTTTTTTCCCTGGTTCTGTTCTGCAGAGGCTTTGGAATTCAGTCTCATCGTAGTCAATTGAGCTTCTGAAGGTTTTTTTGCAGTGACAGCTGAGTTGGAGAAGAAGAATTTTTATGTATGTATGCTTGAAGACGGTCTGCGGAGTTTTCTAGGTTGGTGGTGCCGAGTGGACCTGTGATCTGAAGTTTAAGCTTTTTTTTTTTATGTACCATTGACAGTCAAAGCCCAGGTTTGAGGCTCGGGATTGGAAGCATGCCGCCGGAAAACGATCAGCAACAGATTCGGATCAATGTGGAGTACAACTGCGGCGGAAACTATTTACAGAAATTCAGGCTTTACGAGACTCGCTCGGTATAGTTATACGTGCGAATACGTTAGATTATTTTCTGCTTCCTTATGTGTGATTTTGTTGGATCTCATTTATTGATACACGGATATTTTTTTTTTATAATTCTATGGACCTGAATTTCTGGTCTTTTTATAAGTTTTTGGTTGTTTTTAAATCTGGTCGTCATTTGGATTTGAACTAACAAAAACAGGAACAAGCTTTTTCCAGTTTATTTGAATTTTGAATTTAGGGCTTGGAATCAACATTAATTGCTCTGAAGTTTTAGAGTAACGAAAGATGATGATGATTGAGTTGGCAGTTACTGTGCATTATCGTAACAATGTTGAAAATGAGTGCTGCTTTCTATGAGAAAGCTATTTAAAAAGATTATATAGGTTCACCTACAGGCTGACCTGCCCTTAAGTATGTTTCTATTGTACGAGAGAGAACCGAAAGTTACACAACTTCTGAATGATGAAATTGGAATTTAAGTTGATACGACAAGCAAGTTGTATCAATATGTTGGGAATTGGGATGAATGTGGTAGTCCATCTTGAGCTATGGTACAGGACTACAAAGGTTGCGGGAGAAAAAATGTAGTGATAGGAACCTTTGTTTATCTCATGCTCAAAACCATAGAAAAGTAATATTAACAGAGCAAGTAAGGATTTGCAGGTTGTGCATGTCGTGTTTGTAGAAGGATTCTTATGTGCGTCGTATCTGTAGACATTCTTAGACACGTGTGTAACACTTTGAATGCGTTCTCATTGAGTGTCATTAAATTAAAGGTTTAACGTTCTTGTCTAGAGTGCTTTTTTAACATTCTTTAAACAAATCTTTGGCATGTATTGAACACTCCTTTCATCAGATAATAGATACTCGGCGATAATGGTATCTACTTTTTTGGATGTACTGCCTCCCTTAGCTAGTTTCTCGTGCAGTTCTTTTTACATTTATTGCTAGTTCTATTCCTCATCTTCTTGCACAAGTAGTCTGTATATGATACATTTTTATGAACTATTCCACTTAAATTGCTCTTATATTATTGATGCAACAGAACTTTTATATGATTGGACGAGACAAACATAGAACTTTCTGGAAGGTCTTGAAGATAGACAGATCAGAACAGAATGAGCTAAACATCACTGAAGACTCTACAACATACTCAGAAATTGAATGCTATGACCTAATGAAAAGAATTCATGAAGGAAACAAGTCTACCGGTGGACTGAAATTTGTCACCACCTGCTATGGGATCATTGGTGGGTTATACCTTCAATATTTTTTTGCTTTCTCAATCTGCCTATTTTAGTTATCACAAAAAATGAAATTCCATTTTTATGATATCAGAACTCATGGTTATTCTTTCTACGATGTTAGGTTTCGTAAAATTTTTGGGACCTTATTACTTGCTGCTTATCACAAAAAGAAGGAAGATTGGAACAATATGTGGTCAGGAAGTATATGCAATTGCCAAGAGCGAGATTATTCCCATTCCCAGTTCTACAGTGCAATCAAATATGGCTTATACTAAGAATGAGAACAGGTCTTTTGTCAATCCACATGTAAATGTAAAGTGTCAGCAATACTTTTGAGAAGACAATAAATAAAATTTGATGTGCCTGTTATATTTTTGTATCCAGATGAGCATCATCTTAAGTGTAAAAGGGTTCTTCTGTTTATATTTTTATTTTTTGATATTAGTTTGTGTTTTAGCATCGCACGCCAGTTCCATACTATGGAGGTAACCTCTGTACCTTTTTATGGGTGCAACCTTCATTGTAATTCCAGTGTCAAGTTATTAAATTCATGTTATACATTAGTGTTCACCCGTCTTTTCGTTAGGTAAAGTATAGAATGAATTAATCACATGTTCTAATTTAAGTATATTGAGTATTGCTCTCAATCTGTCATCTGTAGTTAGATTGATCATAGTGTCCATTGCCAGTATTTTGCCAGCAAATGTGCAGGGGAAAACCACACTGGTGTTGTGATGTAAATTTATGTTGAATGAGACAAGGTATCACCTGGGTTTCAGGGGGGAATATATGCCTTTTCTTAATTCTATTAGATTTTCACTTCTGTAAATTTCCTTTTTAATTAATGTACTGGTCTTGTATTACTCAACTTCTGATTTTCTTGTATTGATGACATAGATACAAGAAGCTCCTACGCATTGTGGATCTTACAAAGGACTTCTTTTTCAGCTACTCCTACCATGTTATGCTTAGTCTTCAGAAAAATCTAAGCAATCGTGAAACAGGACTAATCCTATATGAAACGATGTTTGTTTGGAATGAGTTCTTAACTCGCGGAATTCGCAGTCAGCTCAAGAATACAGTGTGGACAGTAGCTTTGGTTTATGGATTCTTCAAGCAGGTATCAACTACTTAGGGTTTCTGATATGTGGAATTGGATTTGCAAGATCTGATCATTTCTACTAGGATATTACACTATATTAGTAATACTGTTCTTTTCCTGTGCATGACTTTATAAGTTTATATGCTCTGCACATATCTAGCTTGTTTTCGTTTTATTTATTTATCCCTAAAATTTTATTAACTCTTTCCTCACACTTTTAGCCATTTGTAGTATGGTTGTCAGAATATATGCGATGTAAAGGTACAAATCTTTTGTAGTGTATAATATTTGAAGAAGTGTATATTTTATATATACATAATTACATAATTCTTTTGCTTTATTAGCTGCCATAATATTGAGTATTCAGATCGTTGTTTAATTTTATTCTTGGTATTTGAGCTTGTACAAATTATCATCTTTTTATTAACAGGTCAAACTTTCTATATCTGGGCGGGACTTCATCCTAACCCTTATCGCGAGACGATCCCGTCATTATGCCGGAACCAGGTTTTCATTATGTTTAATTTATTGGAGTCTTTTAATTTTCTTACAGCTAGTTAAACGATCAGAGCTTTAATTCTTTATGGAGCGCATTCATTTCAAATTCTTTTTAGCATAATGAAACAAGTCCAGGTGAGCAAAGATTATTAATTTGGACAATTTCAAATTTAGAATACTCCAAACACCGTTGGAGCCAAGATTTCTTAGGATTTCTCCCTAAGAAATCAAGGGAAAAAGCCAAACTAAGGGGAGATTTTTTTAACTTAATAATACTCAAATAAGACTTTTCATTCCCCCTTACAATAGACATAACATTCAATTTATACTAGTTTAGACTCCATATTACTTATGCTAGACATTTAAATTTACTAGACTAATAACTCGAACAATTACTCTTCAATTCCCCCATGCAACCATTTGACTGACCGACTCATTAATACATTGACTAAATTCATAATCTGCGCAGTAGAAAACTCTAGAAAATTCTGCATCACATAACTATCTCAATTTGAATTCATAGTTTATTCTGCACGAGACTTTTCTGTGCTGGATTCTATCTGCACGAGACTTTTCTGTGCTGGATTCTATCTGTACTTTAGATATCTCTGGAACTGTATAATTCATTTCATACTGTACTCATGATTTGGTGGACTCACAAAGGACTACTCTTCTAGAAAACATCTAACTATGAGATTCAAAAATCAAAGGCTGATGTTTCCTTTCTATTATTCTTTTTACTATTTTCTGTTCCTACCCATATTGCAGATATTTGAAACGTGGTGTGAATGAGAAGGGACGTGTAGCCAATGATGTTGAGACCGAGCAAATTGTGCTAGAGGATGTTCCAGAAGGAAGCCCAATACAAGTATCCTCTGTTGTGCAGAACCGGGGTTCTATACCCCTCTTTTGGTCACAGGAGACTTCACGATTGAACATTAAACCTGACATCACATGTAAGGCTCGTAAATTCTGATGTGCTGTTTTCAAAATGCTAATGTACAACTCTTTTGATGACTCTCTTTCCGTGTGAAGTATCACAGAAGGACGATAAGTATGAAGCCACCAAACTTCATTTCGAGAATCTAGTAAAGAGATATGGAAATCCTATTATTATATTGAATTTGATTAAGGTATGTCTTTGCACTGATCGTGCAGTATCAATGGACTCATGTGTATATGGTACAAACTTCTTTAACATTTAGTCCTCTAATGTTCAGTGGCTCTAATCTCCATTTTTCTATCATTTTCTTCTTGATTACCAGACTCGTGAGAAGAGGCGAAGAGAATCTATTCTACGTGCAGAATTCGCTAATGCCATCGAGTTTATTAATAAAGATCTTACAGGGGAGAACCGTCTGAAGTTTCTACACTGGGATTTAAATAAGTACTCCAAAAAGTAATTTGGCTTCTCTTCTTTCTATTTTGCTGCATTTGTTTTTTTGGATGATGTATAATTGAACTAACCTGTTTATTTTTCAGCAAAGCTGCGAGTGTGTTGGCATATTTAGGCAAAGTGGCTGCTAATGCAGTGGACTTAACTGGCTTCTTTTACTGTCAGATAGCCCCAGCTTCAAGGTAAGAGAAATTGCTAAACTGGTCCTACTGTTGAGTATGTTTACACTCCTTTCCATAGTTTGGTTTCTAAATCCTTAGTCTTCTTTCCGATTACTTAACTCAGTTTTCCAATGAAATCAAGTACTTTGGAAATGCATTCTACCGAATTTTAAAGTGCAACTTATCTAATAATAGAGCAAAAGTTAGTGGACCATACTCAATATTCTGAAGCACTGTATCCTCTTGGCAGATATTGTACTTAGTAACCTAGTTTAGTTTAAGTTTACCTTGTTTTGAGGCCTCGAGCGAAGTAACTTTCAAAAACTAATGAATCGTTATTAGATGAAATCTTAACTGCTAAGATCATTGAAAAGCTATTTAAGTCTGATTTGGGTTTCTTTTTATAAGCAGTTTATAATTGGCACTTAAAAGTATTCCATGATGTACTTTGATTTATTATAATCAATATATATTGGGTCGGTATGTTTGAGCTTAATGTTTCTTTCTTATGTCAGTGTTGAACTTGTTTCTTATCTATGTTCAAGGATTATCATGATATATACTTTTGATCAACTTCATATTCTTCTTTCTGGACATATTTTTCTCTCATAATTCACTAGCATTCATGTAGATTAATACCCCCTGAAATGCAGTAACAGTTGAGTCCGCTGGAAGCCAGCATTACAGTCCTTTGCTTCTGTATTTGTCCATTGATTTTGACTATCAGTTAACTCTTTTACTTTCCACTTCAATGCAGTAAAAATTCTAACAGCAACTACGCTGTTAAGGAGGACCTCTGCAATATGACTAAAGATGTTCAAAACTTGGACACTGAAGTCATCGTTAATCATTGTGGTGATTTGGATGGAGGTTATATTGTCAAGTCTCCAATGTTTCAGAAAGGGGTCTTAAGAACAAACTGTATTGACTGTTTAGACCGCACAAATGTTGCCCAATATGTTTTCGGGCTGGTTGCTCTTGGGCATCAGTTGCATGCTTTAGGGTATACAGTTGTTCCAAACATTAGCTTAGAATCCCCTTTGGCGGATGGTTTGATGAAGATTTACGAAGCAATGGGTGACACCCTCGCACTACAATATGGTGGATCTGCAGCACACAATAAGGTAATCCTTGTAGGATGTGTCTGGGAAGTTAACACTTTTCCCATCTGTGTGCAAATGAAAAGCATATATTTATTCAGTATTTTTGTGCAGAAAGTTTTAGAACTTGAAAAATGTTTGCTGGTTGCCAGTTGATTATTTCTAGAACTCATTGTAGTTCATATTAAGGTTGATTATGCCCCCGTTTGATACCAATTTTTTATCTCATTCTCATTCTCATTTTTCTACCGTACTCATTTCTAACCACACATTCTCCAAATAAAATAATATTACACATAAACCCAAAAATTCTTCTTACTTTTTAACCACACATTCTTTACATCAATCACTATTCAAAAACTCATTCTTCAAAAGAATGGGTGCCAAACACCCACTATATCTTACACATTTTTGTATGCATTGTGCCAAAAATTTCAAAATGTGACATTTGCAATTCTCCATCCTTAACATTTGGGAATACTGAACAGATATTCTCGGAGACAAGGGGGCAGTTGAAACTGGCGACGCAATCCCAAGAGTTCTTGAGAACTCTTCAACGCTACTACAGTAATGCCTACATGGATGCTGAAAAACAAGATGCCATAAACATGTAAGTCAAGTAGTCCATATTTCTATGAAATAAGATTTGCAGCTATAATTTGTGTAATATCTGGACCCATAATTTGTCTTGCGTTGATATAATATCATATATTTGAGAAAGAAAACAATCAGAATCCATTGTCTATATAAGAGCCGATTTTTGAAGATGCATCGCAAGGTTGCTTGGTATTCAGAATTTGATAAAAAATGGTTCTGAATTTACTATTTCCATATGTCTCCACATTTGAGCAGATTCTTGGGTCATTTCCAGCCACAACAGGGGAAACCGGCTCTTTGGGAACTGGATTCTGACCAGCCTTACAATGTGGGAAGGCGTGGTTCTGATTTTGGAGATGAAAGTTCTCGGTAATGTGTTAATTTTGTGTATTTCGAGAATTTCGGTAATTTACTGATAAAGAGTGGAGTCTTTATTTATGATAAATGGTTGGGCATACTTGTGTATTATTCCATACTTCAGTGTGAAATGTTTTTGGAAAAATAATTCCCTGCACCCGAAAACTGCAGGTATATTCTCTCCCTCTCTCTCTAATATTCTCCACATCTGGTCAGCACCTTCACCGTGCGTTTATTCTTCTTACTGAATTATATATTTTTTTTCTTATTGTTGAATCTATGTTTGGTGAGATCATCAGAGCATCTTGATACTACATAATTACATATTAACCAAATACTAACCAAAGGACTTTCTGCAAAATAAGTGCCTAAAAGACAGATCTGATTGAAATTCTTGTTAAGGGATAAAGTAAACCTACGGGGATTCGGTGAATGGAGAGCGCTATATTTGTTTAACTTGTCAGGGGAAGCTGCATCCTATAATTTGATTTTCCAGGTATGGTTAACTTGGTGAAACTTTTTAACGTGCAGGTCAATAATTAAAAGATCCCTATCAGATGGAAACATTCTTTGTGATAACAACTCACCTATTGATGATGCAAGCGTCGAAGAGACTGAAATTCCTCACAAATCATTGCCTGGAAAGGTGCACGGTTCCAACTTGGGTCTTTCAGACTCAACTCCTGTAATCTCGACTTGTGAAAGCAACATATCTTATTCCAGGTATGTTTCCTCAAGTCTCTGATCTTTTATTTTTTCAAGGAATAATTCAAACACTTATTGTACTTTGCTGTCATTCAGTGGACATGTTTCCATGGCCAAGCCCACTGAAACTTTACCCGATAAGTGTATACTACTGGGTCTATTATCAGGTTTTGATTTTGATTTTAGTCGTCCATTCCTAGAAAAAAATCTAACTATAAGGTGAATCGCCTATTGTAATTGTAGATATTTCTAAAATATGTCCTTGTTTTGTTTCTTTGCAGACCCTTCACTTCACGTTAGAAAGTCAGAGATTAATTAATTGTTTTATCTGAAGGGACAATTAGAGTAGGGGCGGACCTAGCACCAGGCGAGCCGGGGCGGCCCCCCGTGCTGGATTCGCCGGGAAAAAAATTTAATTAAGAAATATGAAAATAATATTATATATATGTTATTGTAGAAATGTTATCGAAATGGCTTGCAGATCAATTGGAGGAGCAGACACCTTCTACGTTCAATTCCCGGGTTCGAGTCTTTTCAACAACATTTTCCTTTTCAATTTTTAAACATGTAAATAATAACTAAATATTAATTCATAATTATACCAATGTTCAACAACAAGAAGTGTAGCTTACATGGTAGAAGGGACATCTTGTGCATTAGAGGTATGGGGTTCAATTCTTCAATTCTATTCTTTTTTACATTTTTTTTGTTTAATTTTTCAATACAATAAATAATTATATATTATAGTTTCCGTTTTCGAAATAATTTCTTTAAAAAATTTATTGACTCAAATTATTACTCTATGATATATATACTTTTATTATTAGATTTTATTAATTTATTTTATAAAATTTAAATATGGACAATCTAAAGTATTGTCATTTATTCTTTTAAAAGTTCGAAAAACACTTCTTCTTTTGGGGTAAAAAATAGTTTTAGTTCTAAAAATCATTGTTTTCAAAATTTTACATAACTTTCGTCTAAACTCGGAGCTTGTCTTTACCATTTAATTATATTTATGTATAAGCTATTTTATTTGAGTTCGTTAAAAACTTGAAACTTGATCGTACATATACGATTGAAAACTGCATTTTTTATTATTATTTTAGGTTGTATTTGATTATATTTTCAAATGTATATGAGTTTTTTACGTTTTAATGTATTTATATATTGATTGAAATTTTTTAATATTATTTAATTAAATATTAATAAAAAATTTTATTATTACGGTTATGAACGACCACCCTAGCTGACTTGATATCCTGGATCCGCCACTGAATTAGAGAAGTTGATTATGTGCACGTTATGGTCATATAGGCCCAATCCATGTCCATATTGTTCGGTTTTTTTAATTGCTCTTTTTGTTAAGGAAAACAATATTTTGTTTCTTATTCAATTAACTGCTAGTATTTTTGCACAGTTTTGTATTGAAGTTTTCAATTTTTACTCTCTCTAATGGTGGCCATTTCTTGTGGCCATTTCTTGTAGGTATACCCCCTCAATGTCTCGTAGACAGCTTTTCCCAGATATGCAACCAGACGAATGCCTTGAAACTGATAGCATCTGTTTCCGTGAACGCGGCGATTCATTTCACTGTTCAAATTTTCTTGATGTCGAATGGCTTTCTTCATCGGGGAATTCATGTGAAGAAGAGACATATGAAAGGTAAATTCCTTTTATTAATGCTAAATGGACTACTTGTCAAAGAATGAAAATGAAAGTTAACCCCATTTTTTAATCCACTTAAATCTTTGACATCACTTTGCTACTTCGCATCCTTGCAGTAAATATGGGACAATTCTCTTGTAAATAAATTTCGTTTCTGCATGGTAATCTACATTACAAGTTTTTAAAATACATTCGTTTGATATATGTCTGCCAATCTCTTCCATCTCGTGTCAGTATTTCTTCGTACTCTGAATTTCCTCTCAGTCACTTGTTTATCTGGCAGGGAAACATTTCCCAACGTTTTATTGTTTCATCTGTTTTACTCATCTGTTGTTTGAGCATCTTCCGACATAATCACAGTGTTTTATTTGAATTTGCTTAATAGTCCAAGTTTGAAAATAAAAAATGCTTAGCATTTGAAGCTTTTAGCTTTGTGCTAGGGTTTTAATATTTACTTAAATTGATTGTTGCAGATCTATGCTAATTGGCTTTCCATCAGCTGGACAATCTTCAGACGAGCTTAAACTGGGAACCAGCTCTTCAGCTTACGGGTCTGAATCAAGCATCAAGGTTAGTTAACTTACAGTGCACTCTTTAATTAAGACGGAAAACTTTAATCTATAACAGATTACAACCTAATTGAAATTGATGACTTGATTCCATCATTTAGAATTAGTCATTTCTATCTATGTTACCAATCCTGCAGTTGTTTCTATCAACTAGTGCATGCTTACAAAATTCCTGTTCTGATGTTGCATTGTATGCAGTATTTCTTTCTTATTAATTTTTTGTTTTTCCAAGTGTTTCAGGGGAAGGAACAGGTGGTTGGAGATGTCCACCATGATGCTGGTTCGTGTAGTTCTGATGGATTTTCTGAAAGATTTGTGCGATGGGTTAGCTATGGAAACATGTTTTTCCCTTGAGGTTGGGAAGATTCCTGGAAAAATTGTATTCTTGCCATTATTTCATTCAACTCATCCAAAGGATGTGAATTACGTACCTGAAACAAATGACATAAGATGTCGATAGATTTATCCAAACCAAGGTACCCTCAAGTTGTAAATTGCAGCATTTATTAAACTAGATCCTTCAGTGGGAAAAGTAGGGAAAGCAAAGCGTACAAGTAGGAATAAAGTATTCTTTTTGGAGCTCTTACTCAGGTCGTTTCTTGAAGTTTTCAGTCTTGTAAATATTCGTAGGCGTGACTAAATTGGAATATATTTAAATTTCTGTAATATATTCGTTGTACATTTGGTGGGTTTTTCTTTGTTAAAATCTTTCTGCGGTATTTCCTCGCATTACAGGTGCCATAATCAACCGTGGATCCAAGTATCAACCCAGCAATAATCTTTTGGACCTTGTTTGGTGTACATAATTATTGGTAAAATTTTACGTTGATTACTAAATTTGTTTGAAGTTTACTAGACACACTTTATAATAACTTTGTATTGTTTAATTAATGAATGAATGAATTGAAAAATATTATAGCTGAAGCCATTTTCATTAATAAAGCTGGTTTTTTAAGTTTGGCCAAACAATATGTTTTGAACACGACTTATTTTTAGGTATTGGATGAAGTAGTGTGCATTCTTTATGAATGTTGTTGGGAGAGAAGTCAAAATCGAAACACTAAAAAATGTGAATGGCATAGCAAAAACTGAAATGGAGGTAGAGTGAAATTTTCAGTACCTCAGAAGAAATTGAGTTAATATTCACTTACCAAACTCTTTTCTACGCACTAATTCCTGAAGGACCTCATTAACCCAGAATCAAAGACAATTTATCTAAACAACGTCGTCTTCAAGTAAGAGGGAATAGAGGAGGCGATCGATCAAGAGAAAATCTTGGATTAGTTGGAACTACAAGAAAATAGATTCATTGTGTGCGCATTAGGTGGATTGTAGTTTAATTGACACTTCAATGGATGGATGGTCAACTTGATTTAACTCTTTTTTTTTTCCAAAGTTTGGCAGAAAGATAAAAAGTAAAGTTTTGCAACTTTTATAAATAGCAATGACAAAATGGAGAAAGATGAAAGAAAACTTGTATACTATCATCGACTTTTTGTTAAAAGACGTCTAAACCGGAACCAACGAGTCCATATCCAATCGTACCGACCCGAGTTCAACTGGGCCATACTCAAGATGATCTTTTTACGACTCGGCGGGAGAGAGAAAGTTGCAACAAATTTTTGGTTTTTCGGCACCATTGGCTTCAGTTGATCCGTCTCTGCCCAGGTAAATTTATGTATCACCTCTTTTTATTCACCTTTTGTTTTTGCCACCTTTCACACTGTAAGTACGTCGAATGTGTGTACTTCTCAGATTTGTGATCATTTCTCGTCGGCTCGAACTGTTATTTATTTATTTGGAATTTTACAGGTTTTTATTTAGAGAATTTACATGGCCGAAACTTATATTGAATCTTACGTGCAAAGAAGAAAACTACGTTCTGGAACATATATATATATATATATATATATATATAAAGTGCATATTTAACGGAATTTGTTGGTTTAACGGAAAAACTAACGGAATTTGTTGTTTTAACGGATTATGTAACGGAATTTCTTGTTTTAAACAGGCAGCTGCACCTTCTTTCAGTGTTTTTATCATAACTTTGTATTCAGAT